GATCCGACACAAGCACGCGCCTGCCTCCGCAAGCATCCCCTCTGCCCAGTGCTTATTATATTTCTGTTCCTCTTTCCTTTTTCGTTCTTATTTTTTCATTTTACTTTGAACTATGGTAAATTTGCTCAAAGTGTGGTGGCACGGAAAAATTTTTGGTATGATGGTGGAGTGGTGCACTCGTCGACGTGTGGTGTATTTGGCCGACTGCACCCCAAAATTTCTGGCAGAAATTAGTTCACAGAGAAAATGCGCCTTCTCAGTTATAAACGTTCTCTGGTACAACACTGATTTAGCTGAAATATCACTAAACAATTATTAAAATCTATACATATTCAAACATTTCGTTGTTTAATTCCATTTTTTTACAAATATAAGGTACTTTGCTTTCACCGCTGTTTGTTTTTGCTTGCACATGCAAATCAGCTGATCGTTTGACTCTTTTCATGAACTTACAGGAAAAAAACTCCGGACTAAATCCTGTAACTTCTGACTTGGAACAGTTGCTCAGTTACTCTCTCAAATGTGTTCCCACTTACAGGTTTTATGTCAATAAGACGACTTCCTGTAAGTTCTGACTAAATCCTGTAAACCGGACTGCTATTGGAATAGACTAAACATTTCATTGGGTTCGCAAACAATATTTTGACGTTTAATTAACCAGCTATAGGAGTAGCTCAAGATGCCCTTTTAATAGAAGCTTAATAAAAACCTAAACCTTTTCGAGAGAAACTGATTATTTGTTAATTCAAAGTCAAACCTTCTAAAGGCCCTTAAGCTACTTTGATTGAACGGTACAGATATGTATGCATGCAAGTCCGTTGTTAAAGAATTCTATTTTTAAATAGCCCAGCGTATTAGAGAACGTTGTTGTTGCGGCAGAACGTCATCCGTCCAGCTAACAGAAGCGATAACCAACGGTTTAATTATGCCCATGACAATTAATAATATACATTTGCACATATAATTTATACAGTTTAATGTGTTTTAAAATGGCATAGTGGGCTTATCAATTTCAAAACTCAAAAATCATTTATTTATTATTTTTTATTATAAGCAAACATATATACTTACATATGTATGTACATATGTACATAATATATAGGTATGTACATATGTATATGAATGTGCAAACTAATTGTTGTTGACGTCAGTTTAAATACATCTAATGAAAATTTCAAAAATCTATCCCAACTTTGTTATTAAATTTAATATAATAAACAGCTGAATATATTCTGCTGTTGTATGTCTAGTATTTTTAAATTAGCTGAAAATATGTACAAACAGACATACATATTTATATGGGGTACTCAATGCTGAGTAAATATTTTAATGTATGTAAATAATTGCTATCGCTGATACAAACCACTAAACATTGCGGTAATGTGACGCAGGGAAAAATATACAATTTTGTAAATATATAGTTTGCCTTGCAAAAAGTATAAAAAACAATAAATACACATATATCAGCTCGTGATAATGTGTAGCCAGTTTTTAATAAATGGAAATTATATGTTATTTAAATCTTATTAATGAGTTTAGTTTTCTAATCCAATAAATACAAATATGCAATAAAAAAGTTGCATACAGTTCTAACATTCGCATAAAGAAATTGAAATAAATAAAAAGAATAACATAAGTAGATTTTATAAAGATATCATTTTTGTTATAAGTACAATGAGAGCAGTAGACGCTACTTGTACTTGCATTATTATATTAAAAAATTTGTATGTTATGATTTCGGCTTCAGTGTTTGACCGTTTTTTGGGACTTTTATTTTTTTTATCAAATTTGATATTTATTTTTAAATCTCATTTCTTCCATGTCGTTGTTGTAACAGCATACAAATTCCACAACGAGTTTTTGGGGAATTATGTAGGAGTGACCAGTCCTTAGTCAGTCATAAATACTTGTTCCGGTTACTTAGATCCGACTGTCGTGGTAACGTTGTTATAACCGAGAAAGTGAAATCTCAACATAATCGAAAGATTCACTAGATAAAGTTTCAAAGTTATAGTAAAATCGAAATTCAATCCAGTGGAACCTCGATATAACGAACCTTGCTAAAGCAAAAATTCAAAGTAATAAAATTTTAGCCGAATCCCCTGAAAAACCCGCTTTGTTTTGAAATTTTCATACAAAAATACTCCATAGAGTCCCGTTAGTTACAGCCTCTTTATAACGAAGTGTCAACTTAAAAGTCTCTACATTGCAAATTCTGATTATGTTGACGGGTAGAGCCCCGTTAGAAAAAAACTCAATTATACTTATAACCCAAAAATTCTATTTCAACTTCGTTATATCAAGGTTTCACTGTATAACAATCAAATTAATATTTTTAGTTTAAAAATGATAACTAATCTAATCAAATTTCTAAAAAAAAAGAAAAAAATAACAACCTGAATCCTTTACAAAGAGTTTGTTGAGCTCAGGTCTGATACATACTTAAATGGCCTGAAAGGAATGACCGATCCCCGAAGCCTACACGCAGGCTTGCTACTTAAGGAAGGGCAAGGGGGAAGACAAAACCCCTAAAGTCATTCGTAAGACAATGGTCAATTCCGAGAACTATCTTGAATCCTTCTTTCTGTCTTTCGAAAGACTAAAAAAAGATCTGCTAACGTCTTTTAGTAATAAATTTTCTAAAAATGA